AGACGGCCACAGGAAGTGGCAAACGTGATAGCTGAAACTAACACAGTTATTCTGGTTTGTGTCACTACCACTGTTTTTGATTAAGTATGTATGTAGAATCTAAATAGGACATGACACGTTCCTTCGCAGTTAATCGTCTACTGTCTCCCTCTCATTTGATTCTGTAATGTGTGTGATGGATATGTTAAATAAATTAATAAACAATATTTTTTATTTTCCTAACTTATTATACTTCTTAAAATTATTAATAAATCTTTTTTTTGGTAATGAGATGGTATGCTCCCACACCACAGAATATCTCTGTCTTAATGGTTGACTGATGTAAATTGCAGGCTGTTCTTCAAGAAGTTATTCAGTTCCGCCAAAAGAAGGCAGATGTCTTCTGCCCAAATTCACCGGGCAGTGCCGGTATCGGAGAATATCTTCCCTGGACGGCCGCTTCAGGGAAGGGAGGCCTAAGAGAGTCATTGCTGCTGCAGGTGTGTCAGATGTGTGTGTTTGCAGATATTTTGTGCAGAGAAGTGATTACATATGTCAGTCATTACTTTTTGCTTAAGGTAGATTTGCCCTGTGTCTAAGCAACATGCATTGCAATCTTAAATTGTACGTAAATATTGGCCTATTCTAGGCCTTAGAACAAGAGGATGATGTGCCCAAGCCACTTTTCTTACTTTGAATCGGCTCTAGGATGTGACAACCCATCTGTCTATTGGGTGTTCTTCCCCTGTGGTGAAGTGGCTGCAACATGAAGATGACCATTCACCTCCATATAGTGCCTTGTTTAAGAATGCATGGGTCTTTACCTCCACTCCCACCATTCATGGTTTATTGCTTAACCTTTCTTGAGGGTGAGGTCAACATGTTATTGGAAGATGCTGTTTGATGGTTTAACGTTTATTGTGAGGTAGTAGGGGATTTGAGTCTCCATACTGAGAGGCTGCCAGCAGATTGGTGCCCAAGCCATGACACAGGGCTGATAAAGGTTGATGAGCATTTGAATGGTTGCTTGTCAATCTTTTTATAAGCTGCTGAAGTTATGAATTTGTGCATTTGTTTTTATCCTCAGCAAAACGTAACTTTAAAGTACGGAGCTCATTCAACAAGTGACAGTACGCTCAAGAATCAGCTATGTGACCAATTGCTACATCTCATAGACATCATCTTGGATGGGCGGAAGTGTTATTTGGAGAGTGTTCGTGGGACAGAAAAGTTTGATGTTTTGTTGCAGCAGTATGAGACAGAGAGACATGCCATCATTCAGCAGTTCTGTAAGTGTGCTCCTGTTCGCGTGTTTCTTGTTCTACTGTGTATTGAAATAATCTGTAATTAAGTCTAGTGTTCTCAGGGGTACCCTGCTAATGTAGACTACAAATTCTCATCATTCCTGCCCATTCTCACTGTTCCATGTGTTCTGTGAATCTGTTGTTTTGTTCTGACATAGCAATGTGGCCCTCTGAAGGTTCATTTTGTTTCAGTGGAGGATGAGGAGTTTGAAAGAGCTGCCATTTTAGCAGAGAAATATTGTGATTTCCAAATCCTGATTCAGATATGTGAATTGACTAGCAACTGGGAGAGACTGGATCAGTACATGGAAAAGTTTTCAGAGCAAGTGAGTTTAACGTGTGCAGAGGATATTTTAACAGCTAAACTTGAGCAGATGTATGACTACGTGTTGTCTGCAGGGAGGGTGTTCTGTCACCTTTTCTGTGACCCCTCGTGGTGGACAGACTTGTTAAGGGACTCTGCGAATGTTGTGGTTATTCTGTAGGATATACAGATGGCATTGCAATTGTTATAAAATAAAGTTTCTTAAGATCATCTTGTGGGTCCTGCAAACGGTGGTATGATAAGACATGCTTATATTCTGACATGGGTTTGAAAATAAAGGAAGATACAAGTACATTGTCTCATACATTGCAGAAGTAACAATAATGTTTAAAGATGAGTGTGTTCTGGGTTGTTGCTCCTTGTAGTGTGGTACATATTGACTGACATATTTCGGTCTTCTCCTCCGCCTCTCCCCCTATTAGACCAATCACTGTGGTGCAGTCAGTATGCACTTCAGAAATATCAGTTTCTAACAGACTGCACAGTGGTGTCCGAGAAGAGATTAATATTCGTACCTGTTTCCGTAATAATCTGAAGTCTAGTCACAGTATGAGTGTTTGATTATAACTGGGTCCACTGATAAAGAAGGTACTGAAGTTTGAAGAAAGAAAGAAAGAAAAGGTGCAAGAGAGGAGAGGAATGAAAGAAGTTTCCTGTCAGTCTTACATCTTCCTTTTTTTATGTTAGGACTTCTCACAGTTCCTGTTTGGTTGGTATATTCGAGAACAAAAGCAAGGCAAACTGTTGGAGCAGTTCCGTAACATCAAGAAGTCCAGAGCCCAGCAGCATGCTTTGTCTCAGTTCCTCGTGGATCATCCATCACTCTCCTGGCTGCAGGATATCTTCAGTGGGGATTACAAGCAGGCAGGCAGCACTTTGAGGAGCTTAGCCAAGGAGGAAAGCGAACTGTTGCAGAGGAAGAAGGTAGTTCTGTGTGTTCACTAGCTGACTTGTTCAAAACTGTGTCTTCAGTGTTCATCAGATCATCATGTCATGGCATGTCAGGTGTGATAGTAAAGATGCTGAATTGTTTAAGATAGTTACTTTATTTTTTATTTCATAATGAAATTTATAAATAGTCTGTATTTATTTTTGACTTCTTTTGTTTTAATTTGGTATATAACATCCTTATCCTGAATGCCATGAAACCTCACATCTCACATAGATTGAAAATTGTTATAAGTACATAATTATTGATTTTCAATCCCCTCCTTTTATGTCATTGTGTATGAATGCAATAACGAAACTTCAGAGTCCATAAAAGGTGGGGAATTTGTTGACCGGCTGAGTAATATTAGTTTCTGAAGGACTCTGCTTTATGGAATTAGTATACATGCATTTATTGTTATAATATGTTAATAGTTTAATTATTATTTTAGTACAGTTTTATTTCAATTAGCTATATATTATATTAGTGTATTGAAGGTTCTGTGTTTCACTGTTCTAGCTGTGCAGTGATGGATTTTAATATAAGACAGTTTTTTGTGTTGTGTCCTGCAGTCAATACTTTCCCTGGCCAAGCTGGCTCTGTTGGCTTCTGACGAACAACGCGACAAAGTGGAAGATCAAGTTCAGAGTCTGAACGCGGATCTGGACCTGGTGTCATACCAGGAGGAGCTCCCGGAGGTCGTTCTCTCTTCGTATGGCTATGACGTCGAGAGGCTACGAGTGCTGACTCCCACAGAACTTGTTAAGGTGAGAGGACATGAGGTGATGGAAGGCCCGTCAGTCCCTTGACTTAGAAATAAATCGTCATATGCTGAAACTATTGCATGCCCATTTGATAAGTTGAATTAATGTTTCTTGAAGACACAATTTTCTGATGTGAATTTTTAAATCAGGATATCATTCTGACTTGTCATATATGTGGATTCTGAATTGCTTTGTGCACCTTGAGTTTTGCCAGCATCAAGAGTATTTTAACATTGCATTTATTAATAAATGGATAAAGTGAGGATTGCATTGATTGCAGCCTATTCGTTCTTATTTTCTCTTGCCTGTTGCATCTAGTTATCTCTCCATCAGATTTTAGTGTGAACAGTGTTTCTTTTAACACGCTGTCTGTAAATCAAAAATCTTTTAGACGTTCATGTGGCTTCAATTCTCTGCATATGCTTATTGTCTGTACATTCATTTCTGCTGTTAATTATTTTATTATTTATGTTACAAGATTTATAAGACTTTAAATTCATGGATTCTGTTGTGATTGGATCTGCTGTATTCTGCCACATACGTTAGTAATTGGATTTCGCTTCCGTAGAATGCGCTTTCAGCTTTCTCTCCTTCATCATCATGTTTTTATTCGGTTACAATAAAATTTTATTGTTACTCTCCATACTTTGTAGTGCCATTCATATAATTAAACATTTTTATTTTTCTGTTTCCTCCTTTAAAGAGTGTAATTACAGTGGTTGTCATTTCAGCTGTATGTTTGTGATGAAAATTCCACAGCCACTGAGTATGATTTCAAGAAGGCTCTTGAGCTCCTTGCTTTTATTGAAGATGAATTTGAAAGAAGTGAATTAAGGTAATTCATTACTTTATATTACACTGTGACTGAAGAAGGCATATATTTATAAAGTGAGCTTTGGTTACACTATAGACATTACATTCATGTGGAGTAATATTAGGAGAGTTGAAGATGGTGGTTTCTATGATCTTGTGCTGTGTAATCTCGTAGAATTGACCAATGTTTCAAAGGTGCCGGCTGCCTGATGATGGAGGCAGGAAGTACTTCTGAAATGTTGGTAAATTTCTATGAGACAACATAGCATAAGTTCTCAGAAGACTGTCATCTTCATACACACGAGAGTCTTTAATCTATCTCATGGTTATGAGGCACTGGTTTCATTTGGATCATGATCTTCTCGTTTTTGATGCTGTGTGGTCTTGTAGAGAATGCAATTGTTCTTCCAAACTATGCATAACCACTTACAAGGTGATATGTTAAACCAAGATTACCACAGTCCACATTTACACCCATATTGATTGAATTTGTTTAATGCAGGCATAAAGTCTGGTGCCAGGCAGTTCTGAGAGATAATTGGACTGATGCAAATTCTAATTCTCCTCTTGAAGTTATCCAGGGGATGACCTTCTTCAGACTTGCAGATCTCATGGCTTTCATGGGTAAGATATAATACGAATTATCATCTTGGGTAGGAATATGAAGATACAGTAAATACTTAAGCATTGTTTTTTGAAGTAACAAATTAACAAGATTAGACTTGATATAGATACAGAATTTCGACCCACGGATGAATTTAATATCTTTTATATAGATGTTTATCCGAGAAGTCTCGAAAGTAATTCATGGTTCTGAATAAGTTTGGTGGCATGACTTCATCTGGGAACACAACACATGTGACATGTTCTCTCTGCAGGCTGTAGTCCTGATGAAGTGCTACCCCCTCTGGAGAGGATGTTAGAAGCTCAGGAGCTAGGAAGCTTGAAAGATAACAGTAGCTTCCAGTACCTCCTGAAAGTGGGGTATGAACATGTGCGCAGAACACTGCATACAGACCCATAACGTAAGTATGATAATCTGCTGAATATAGCGTGAAAAAGTAAATACCCAGCTGCTTGTTACTGGAGGCAGTAGGTTCCTCCCGAACATAGAAAGCTTCTTCCATTACAACACCTGCAGAATGTAATTTGTTCCAATAAGCAATATTATTTATTTCCCACAGGGTACAGATCCAGTTCTTCCTTGTGCAACAAGTCAAGTCACTCACGCGCAAGCCAATGCAATGAGCACCGTCAGCTGAGAAGACAATTAGTGACTGTCATAAACAAAAGACATAATTTTGATTCATAGTTTTGTGTAACAATAATGCAGAGGTTATATGTAAGGTTGTAAGGAGGCATGTTCTAAATGCTGTTCAGTAAGAAAGAATAAAAACACACAATAGTAACTACCTCATCCATAATTTGAGAAAGGAGCCTCTCTAATAACATTTTGATAGTTGAAGGTTTTAAGGATCAATAAATATGTGGTACTTATCAGCAGTTAAGTTGTAAATTTAACCTTCTATGTTTAATTTCCCTAGGTAAACATACAACAGATCATTAAAATGAGTTAATTTTTTTTATAAATTTAGAGCCCAGAAAATAGTATTCAGTTACATAACTTTTTTACGTGATGTCAAGACTAAACTGTCATATAGTGATTGGTACAGTGCTGGTTGTCCATCTTGAACTTCAGATGTTTTTTTTTTGTTATAATTTTTTTATTATAAACGCCTTGCCTCTCATAATGCAAAGTTGCACTAAAGTAAGGTCATGAAACTTACATGTTCTAGTGTCTAACAGTAGCATAAGAAGATACTCCTCTAATTGTTGATGGGAGATGCACTGAACAGGATGATCTGTAAGATGTTATAAATAGTGTTTGGGTGCCACCATTTGTTTACAGTAGAACTTCCTGCACATTTAGATGAGTTTTTGTCTTGACTGCTGCTATCCACAGAATAATAAGGGATGGTTTATTTTTATTTCGGATCTCAAGATTTAATGTGACAAGACATACCTAGATTCTCAGGCCTGTTGCATACATCAATTTTATCCATCTTTGCTTCCATATGAAGGATTTGTTGAGCAAATTTTAGCAGAAGTCTGTATCATAAGCTGGTACCATCTCAGCTGTGGCAGCTACAATGGGATTTACAGTATTTCTTTGAACAGCTTTCTAAGATTTATAACAACAAATTGTTATTGTCATATAAACATGCCTGTTACTTGCTGCAATGGTAATGTACTTTTGAGGACAGGTGCTGACATAGCTGACAGCTTAAAAACTGTTACAAAGTAAAATGTGCCTTATAGGTTACCACATTAAAATTGGAAAAGTAGAGGAAGAAAAAGCTTTTAAACCAACACTTTGGAATGAGAATTTACGTGAAGTTGGTAACCATAAAAGAGCTAAACAGTGAAGTACACAGAATAAAAAAGAAGGTGAAGCATTTTGGCTATTTTAACGCACGGTCTCCAAAATCGTGCAACACTTATTTCTTGTATTGTTTTTGGTTGATATTCGGGAAGTGCCCGATTCAAATGTCTGCCAGTATACCGTCCCCATAATATCGTATTTCTTATTCGACCACGAAGAGCTCACAATACTGTACCTCCAAATTTGGAAGCACGCATTTACTTCCGGCCAATATCGATCTTATACTTTGGACAATTCGACTAATGCAGAATGCATTACAGAAAACTCGTGTGATGTAAAATTTCATCTAAACTCTCGTTGGTGTATGAAATGCATTTTGTAATTTACAGATTACATTGTTCTCACACTCACTTTGAAGTAGGCTACAATGACGAAAGCAGTAATTTTCAATTTCGTTTCGAAAAAAGGACTTGCTATAATTGAATATCAGTGCTAGTGTGGCAGTCGATCTCGCTACGATATCTGGTTCAGTCATCTATGTACCATGACCGTGATCACATAGTGAACGAAGGCCGAACACGACTGCCAACTAGACTATGGGAATTGTTAATTCAAATTACCAACGTTACGTAATGTTTTCAAGTCTGTATAAAGTCTTATTTTCTTTCCCAGCGGCAATACCGTTTATAGTTTTAATGTAAATTATACCAACTAAATGGGCAGCATCTAACATTTTCGTAGTGATTTTAGTATATCGATGTATTGGGAATTATAATAATCGATACAATTCCCGACCAGAGAGTGCTGAATATCTGCTAATTTAATTCACAATTAAGCGTTCAAAATTAGAGTGTTTGATATGTGAAATAACCATAGAATCATGGACGTTTGTAAGTAAAATATTACATATGGACTAGGGGTATTATTTAATCTCATTCCTTTTAGTTACACTTAAAGACATTTATAGGTTATGTTTAAATGTCATGAGGATTCAGACTCTGTTCTGTATTTCAGCTCCCAGTCACAAATACAGTGGTTATTGGAGCGTTGTTTCAAAAGCTGTGGAGCAAATTCTTCAGAGCACTCTGGTGACAAGAGTGTCATTTGAGCAGATGTATAGTATTGTGTACAAGAGTGTATGTGATGGGTTTTCAGAAGAAATGTATCGTGACTTGCTAGGGCAGTGTAGTCGACATCTGGAGCAAGTAGATCACTCACTGTACTTATGTAAGCAGGAGTCAGATGAGCAACAGGTGAGTATTCAGTATATAATGTAGTTGCATTCAAGAAACTGTGTGAATGTTGGCCTTCACTCAACTTAGTTTGATTTCACTTCAAAATATTAATATTCATTGTTGCAGTTTCCTCTCTTATTAAATTAAGGAAGTTGGTTGAATACCAGTGTATATTTCCTACCTGCATTGACACTAGATGCTGATGTAAACAATGCATATTTAACAATCCATTTCTGTTCTGCATATTACATCATATTTGTAAATGAGGTACCATCCACTTTATTTAATTTCAGGATGGTGACATGGTCAAGTTTATTATGTCTTTCCACAAAGTTCTGGAGTCATATTTATCAGCTGTCCAACAGATCACGCCAATTTTTGCATATATGGTCAGTATTATGTGTTATTTAAGTGTGTATATGATATGACTTAGACCAACCTTGCTCATATGCAGGTTTTGATAAGTTTCCTATTAGATGTAGACAGCCTTAACAAATTAGGTGCTAGTGTAATTGAAATAATAGTTGGAAATCTGTTATTTTTAGTTAGTGATTACATAAAACACCCATTGCTTGCGCAGAAAATTTTATACTGGGACAAAAGGTGTCTTTGAGTAGGATTTGAGATTTTCACAGTGCTACAACCCAGAAGACAGGACTATGTACTTTCTCCCAGCGCATTAGTATTTCTGTTATGGGTGCCATTTGTTGTTCAGTTATTGCAGACTGCGTGTTGCAATATTCTAAAAAGATAGTTCATGTAAGTTAGAAACTTTGCTTCTTGTATGCAGTGAAAATAGATGTCTGAAGACGGATGTAGATTGTTGTTCTTTTGCAGAAATTTCCAGGGTGATCTGCCCAGTTTTACTGAGAATTGTAATGTTTTGTTTTACAGAATAAGTTTTATGTCGAAGTAAAGTTACAGACCTCATTACAAGCACAGTTACTGGACCTGTTTCGACAGAAAGTAGCAGATTGTCGGATGGACGCGATTATGGGTAAGAAAACTGATGTGTAATAAATTCTGTCAACCATTATTGCAGCTTTGGCACAAGGAAGTTCTTGAAGTACTGTTGTATTGTTACAGTTTAGCATTTTAAGAAATTTAAAATTCAGGACAACATAAATCTAGAACTGTTGAATCTTATGCCATTCTCACAAGTGTTTTCTGCTTTTGATCTTTGAGTTTATCATCTGAATTCTGAAAGGTATTACTTCTACAAAGAAATGTTTGTGTATTAATTAAGCACAGAAAATATTACCTTCTTCACTTTCATTATTCTTTCAAATATGGAGTGTTTTACAGAACTGTAATGTAACACACTGCCTTTCTGCAGTTTGTGAGCAATTTCTGTACTTGTACTGCACAGGAAAATGTTCAGGTATTATATTATTCCATTTGTAAGTAGATTTTACTGCATTGTGGATAGAGTTTACTGTAATGTGATTTTTTCTTACCTTCTGTCCCTTCCCAACCAAAATTATACATCAGATGACATAGCATATGAACTGTCTCATACTGATCAGCGTTGTTATATTATTTCAGCTAGTGTGGATGACCTACTGGAACGACCTTTTACCCTTTCACCTGCTGTCATGTCCTCACTGTTTAGAAATCTTCACTGTATTGGAAGAGGTGACTATGGCCAGCGGTATCCTAAACTATTTTCACGCTATGTGCCAGGAGTTCTGCCCCCAATGGTACAGAGTGATATTGAAGCGCACATTACTGAAACGCATGAGTTGCAGCGCATTTTGCGGATACAGGGTGAAGCTGATGGAGCAGCAGCTGCCACACAGCAGGGTCAGAAGAGGAGGGGTGACGACGAGAACTATGGCCCGACATTCTGCGTCGCCATCGGAAATCAGGAGCAACCATCAGTGCTACCAGACGCATCTAATTAGTTCACAGCCATCAGTGGATCTGTGACAGTGTAACTGCTTCCATACATTCTGATGTTAAGTAGACAACGTGGAGGCATGGTTGTCACATGTACTTAACGGTATGTATCACTACTTAATTTAGTCAGTATTCTCTTTTTTGGGCATTTGTAAAGTGTAACATGTACTTCGCAGTAAAGTGTGTAATATAAATTTTATAGCAGCTTCAGGGTGTAAACTGTGTATCAACATTGTGCTTTACCTGATATACACAAATTATACTCTGTGTGAAATGTCACAGTGCTTTAAATTTTTGTCCGGTGTTCATTTGTCTTCATTGAAATTCAACTTGACAAATTGTACTTGCTTTTGCATTTTAGACAACAAACTCTTGGCAGTTGTTATATATGTGCTTTTTAATATATCGAATTGCTTTTAACTGTGTAATATCTGCAGTTACCATTATTTGTATATTTTCTGGTTTCCATTATGCCAGTTTCTTGCGTAGTTTGTGCTTCTGTCCTTTTTCTTGGTATGCCGTCAGTGTGACTAAGGTCAGCATTATGTGAAAGTGATCGTTGTGTGCCATGCCACCATGGAAAGTGCCCACACTATTTACAACTGCATTAACCTATAAGAAATTCTGACACAGCTTCAGAACTGAAAAATTGTTTTCCTCTTCATTTCAGTTTTTAGAAGCAGACACTTTTGCATGTTGGTAAATCTGGTACTTTATAGAGAAAAGTTAAAGATATGCATATGAACTCTTTGTTATTGTCACCTTGTGTTTTGTGTGTATAAATTTTGATGAAACTTTTAGAAGTAAGAAGTAGTAATATTATTTGGGATTGGATTTGAATGAGTAGTACTGCCAAGAGCTATAAACTTTGTGATTTAAGTATACAGTCAGGTCATTGAAACTACAGATGGAGCAGTTCAAAGGATCTTGCATTTGCAGGTAACTGTCAGAACCAGTGTATTTCATGTGATTCATTACACAATCTGATGACAAGTTAATATGAAGCAGGTGTAGTTGGGTGGTAGTATGATTTTAACTGTTTGCTGTCGGTGAAAACGAAAGTCGAACAAGTGTTAGTGAATAATCACAAGATCATCCAAATTTAGTTATCAAAGCAATATTTTATTCTGACATGTAGTGTATATAATGTTTGAAATTCAGTATTAATTTACTGTAGTTCTAGTCATAGAGTACTATATTTGTTGGAACAGTTCCATTCATGAGACAGATGAGAAATTATTATAAAATTTGAGTCAAAAATCACTTGGTAAATCAGGATTTGAAGAAGCAGGCTGAATACAGCTAGTTAAATATAGGGTCCAGTGGAAAAGTCTTGTGAACATGGTTCCATAAAAGCCAGGGAATTTCTTGGCCAAATGAGCAACAGTCAGTTTCTGAAGATGAACTGTTCTTCGCGGAGTTAAGCCGGTAATAAAAGGTGTGCTATTCCATGTGGTGGAATTGTTCTCGACATAACAGCAGAAGAGTTAAGAGTTCACAATGATGCATGATGAAGACATTCATGCAGATCATTAATTTTTAATATCCTCAAATAAAGCTTTGTGTTCTGTCTATAATGCCTGTGCTTAAATCACAGCTGTCCTTGATGATGACTGTCTTCTGTGGCGATGTGCTATATTGTCTGCTAGAAACTGACCAACATTTCAGGAGTACTTACTACCTAGATCAGCAAGAAGCATCTCTGAAACATTTGTCAGTTTCTGCGAGACTACATGGTACAACATTCCAGAAGACAGTAATCTTTATTCTTGCCACCATGAGAACCTGAAATTAAATATAATTTAATTTTCCTTTCTTGACTAATTGAATGTGAGCATATATAATTAGACTGAAATTTCAGTGGTGCTTGGTTGTTTAATAATTTTGTCTGAGAAGAGAGAATGCATTGTGAACACTTCAGTGAACTGTATAACAGAAAGTCAGGGCTGAAGATGGGCACGGATACTGCCAATGCGAAATGTTGGAAACAACGTATATGCTGAATAAAGTAGAAAGCATATTCATGTACATCAGGCAGAGTCTTAGAACCATTATATTGCCAGAGATCCAAGCAAGTGGACAGTAGTTGCAGACCAGAACTGTAATTTTAGCAGTATATGAATTGCCACAACTAAGCAACTAAGCAGTTCAACCTCAAAACAGCCAGTCTCTATGTATGAATGATCTGGTTTGTAAATGATCTTAGTTTCAATAATATAAAGTAAATAATACCAATGAGGATGTGGAACATATCCACTTACCCAATGAAATGTTTGTGTAAATTTTGTTCACTGGTATGATGCACAGAATTCAGGTAAAAGCAAGTTTGTGACAGGATGTTTTTTTTTTTTTTAATGTCTAGTAGTGGAGTTGATGATTTTTTTTTATGCTATTGATGTATTGTTGAAGTCAGATATGAGAACGTTATTATTGACTATGCCATGAAATGACTGTGAAGAAGAATTTATGATTCTTACTTTTGGAGATTGTAAGTGATATGTGTGCAGGAAGGTTTTTTGGTGCCTGTGCCAGGTCACAGGTTTTCTGCTCTGTGTGATTACTACATTGGTTTCCCATTTCCTAGTCAGCAATATTGCACAGTGAAGTTTACTTACCAGTGTTGCCAGAGATGCTGAAAATATTTTGCATTGACTCGGATACGTCCGACATGCTCTGTAAACAGATTCAGGCTCACACATTTTAGTTCTACTGATAAATGAACATTTAGAACGATTTCTCAGAGTTGTTCTTCCATGTTTGGATGGTTGTGTTATAGTTTTAAAGTATTCCTGCTATGTCTGGCTACTGAATCATGTTCGTACCGAGTGCGCAGTTGTGATTTTGTAAGGCCGTAGTTCCAGTCATTTTGTAACATTCATCGCTATCTCTTTTGTTACTCCATTTTCTTATTTTAGCTGCTTATGAGGTGTACAAGGTGAATTTTGAAGCAGAGCTCCAATATCGTACATCTTTCCTTCTGGTAGTTCTAGACACTGATAATTTGTTTCCTGTTTTAATGTATCAGTTGTTCCTACTTTATTGGCAAGATTATGAATCGTGTTTCTGTTGGGAATTTGAGCCCTCGGGAAGGTTCTACTTACTTTACCCAGTATAGTTATACTTCATAGATATCAATACAGAAACACTCGATGCTCCAGTGTAAATTTAACCGTCGGAATCTTGCGCAACACTTGATCGTGCACGAATATCATATTTGCTGTTATCACTGCTTCTGATTCATCGTGGTAATATTCTCTCACTGTCACAGCCGAGGAAGAGCAGCATTTTATGTTCGTAATTATGCACAGCAGAGGCCACACCCTGGCACCATCACCAGATGTGATGTAAATTCACTTAGGAATTGTTTTTATGTCTGTCAGAATATTTAAGTATATTATAGAGCAGTTTGGTGAATATGTGGAGTATTTGATACCCAGAAAATGAAGTGTTACTCTTAAAATATTTTAACAGTTGTTAACAAAGTGAGGTCTTATTCAGTCCTGCTCTGTTGTCTCATCAGCTTGTGCTGCTGTTTCATTGTTAAATTTGTTGTTGCCTGAAAATGTTTCGTGTTATATTTATGCTTTTTTCAGAATATTAATTTTTAATCTTAGTTTTTTATTTATTTATCACTGTATGATTTAGTAGTTATTAACTACAAATTTATGAGATATATTTTTTTAAGAACTGTAATAGATATCAAAGAAAGTTTTCAAATTAAACACATAATGAGGTATGAAGAGTAATGTCAACATGTACACAGCTTTGTAATACATGATTTGGTGTGCTGTGAGGTTTTGAGTACATTTCACTGTAACAACACTAAGAAATATTTGATGAACACATAAGTGGGTCATTTGTTATACAAATGGCTGTCAGTATAAAATTGACTTCTATTTTGAATCATTGCTTCAGTTATATTACTTATATTAGTACATGTTCTGCTTCAAGACAGCCATCTTAGAATTCTATATATTGTCAGTAACCTTCAATGAGTGTAGTTACTGCCAAAATTTCTCCCCTTCTTTATTTAAACATGCATTCCAACATCTCACTAGTTGCAACGTTTTCTTTGGAAAAGTCCGAGCAAATTTATATTCTCTGACTTTTTGGTAAAGCGGTGTAACAATAAAAGACTACAACAAAAAAACATACTTGAATCCCAATGACTGTTTGATAAAAGACTGTTGAATCTTGTAGTTATATAATCCAATGTCTGCCAGCTCACCAGTGCAGCCATTTCCTGCACAGAAACACTAATTCAGTAATTTTTTTGTCACTTCTCACACAGTTTATAAAATAAAAGATATAGGACATGCAAATGATTTCCCTGATCTGATAGATGGCTGTGGAAGGGAGTGAGGTTTGTTTCTGATACTTATAAAGCTTTCATCAGTTGAACGTTCTAGGTCAGTCACAGGACCGTAACTGATCCTGCACTGCATCAGACATTTGCTGGCATGGCTATTGTTCCTGTAAAATGCACAAGCATCTACCATAAATCATTTTGAAACAAAAGAATAATATGAAAGAAGTTGGTGCGCTGTGTTCTTGATAATGATGATGATATAAATATAATGTTCTGTTTATACACTTGGAGTTTGATTTGATCCCATGCTGTTGACTGTTAACAAGAAATAATTCCTGCTAAGTTTGTATGGCCACGTGCTGAGTTACATGTGCAGTGGAATGTATGTAAAATGGTAAAAATTCCTGTGAGGCAGGTTTATAAAATGAGTCTTGGAGGTTGTACACAATTGTATGTTATTAAGGGGAAAGTGTATTTATAAATAACAATAAATTTATGTTCTAAAGAAATTATATTCATGATAATATTTTACACTGACAGTAAAGTTTAACCATTGCCACATCATTTCTACCCATTCGTCAACCCTGATCTTCCTGTCATATTTTGTTTAGTGCTGCTGAAAAAACCTTCTTAATCTTAAGAACAAACATGGATGGACAGATTGTGTGTGTTTGAAGAATCACTAGTTTGTCTGGTTCTGATATTTGCAATTTGATTATCATTTAGCCTCAGCTAAATAAAAATTGTCAAAAAGGACAATCTTGTATACTTCTCAATATTTTTGTGTAATTTTTACAGAATGAAAGATGCCATTAACCGATAAGCTGTTATGTTTACAGGAAACAGTAGTGGGGCCATTCGTATATTCCACATTCCAGAAGACTTGGATCCAGTGGTTAAAATCGACCACAAGCAGGTTCACAAGAAGGCAGTTACAGACATTGCTGCTTCTGTGACTGGCGGTAATCTTGTAGTCACAGCAGATGATTCTGGAGAGCTCAGTCTGTGGAGGCTGGAGCGGGAACTGCATCTTGTTTCTATGTTTCCCACTTTCAGGTGAGCATTCGTACTAGCTGAATGCAGACACTTCTCTGCTTTGTCTTCAGGGTGTGACGATGTCTGTGTTCATGAATAACTACCAAGTGCTTTAATGATCTGTCTGCGCAAGCAAAGCTCTTGCGCGTTTCGGTACCTGATGCCGTCAACAGCTTTTGGCAGCTTCAGACGATTGAACAGGTGTCAGTTTATCTGTCTCCTCTGCTTTTACCCTCCCACTGCACTTTCTCATCTACAGCCCCAGGTTGTGGTCCCTGTAGTAACTTTGTTGCTTATGGTGAAGTCAGAAATGCCATTTACTTTAAATGAATTATTGAGAGTACTGTATTTTTTTTACTTGTTCTAATCTTGGAATTTTTGAAGGAAGATAAAAATGATACATGTTTCAAAATTGCGTGGTCACGTTTGTAAATTTGGCACTAGGACCTTGATTCTTGTATGTGAAGTAGCCACCCATGTTTATTGGCATGACGAGGTGTTGTTTCTCTTTGAGTAATTATACAGGGCGAGTCAGAAGTAAGTTTACAAACTTTGTGTGCGTGTACCAGCATCAAAAATAAGAAAAAAATGTTCCTATGAACATGGGGTCGCAAATGTTTCATTTTCAAAATAATAGCCAAAAATAAGTTTCAATGAATTGACTTTATATCAAAGTGAATCCAGCTTCCAGCAAAGATTTTCAATTAACGTTTGGGCAGGAATTGTTGGAGACATGCTTATTGGTCCACACATGCTTCCATCGCGTCTAAGAGGACCTTCATATAGGTTATTCTTAAGAAGACACTTGCCACGTCTCCTTGAAGATGTACCACTGAATACAAGAAGACAAATGTGGTTTATGCACGATAGAACCCCAACACACTTCTCCCATCGTGTCAGATATCATCTCAATGAACAGTACCCTCAGCGATGGATTGGGCGTGGTGGCCCAGTAGCATGGGCACCGAGGTCACCGGACCTGACTCCATTGTACTTTTATCTGTGGGGCGACTTGATGTCCGTCGTTTACGAAACACCCATAAACAATGAATACGACCTATGGGAATGTGTGCAGAATGCATGCCAGATGATTCGAGGAAACCCTGGTGTGTACGAACGAATTCGTCAGTCTTGTGTATGTCGTACTTGGGAATGTGGCGAATGGAGGAACAACCTTTGAGCATCTGTTATATAGAAACATCCCTCTCCTTATACTTGGCAGTAAAGGCATACATTGCAAATTATTTTGGGCTATTATTTCGAAAATGAAGCATTTGCAACCTCATGTTCATACAAAAAAAATTTCTTATTTTTGATCCTGGAACATGCACGCGAAGTTTGTATACATACTTCTGACTCACTCTGTATATGGGAGCATGCATTTTATTATGATGTTGTCACAAAGTTTACTTTCCAATGCGTGGTTAGTATCAGTAAGAGCACGTTCATTAACAAAGAAGTCTCAGTGTTTGCTTTAGGATGGCCATCAATTTATACAGAGTGCCCACTGGGTTTAAAGAATTGAGCACATACTAGAAAAAAGGTGGACTGCAGAATGCTCTTTGTGATATTAAAGGGTTTACAAGACATCAAGTATGTGTTCCGGGATCATCGGCCATGTAGCCTAGTAGAAATTGAGGTGCTTACTGCCTTCAGCATCAGGTTGATGATTCGTACCTACGAAACATCGGGCAATTCTAGACTGCAGAGCACAATGTCAAAGAAGACAGCTATCTTAAAATATACTTTTGTTGCAGAAATGTCATAAAGTATCTGCAGAATGTCCGCCTAAATATGGATGAAAGTGTGAATTTCTCTTTCCAGGAGGTTGTTATTGAGCTACGAGACAAGGTACCTATCATGTAGACTTGAAGCACAGAAGTTAGCATATAAATGTAATTTTATACATTTGAAAAACACAGCTTACAATATAAATGTAATTTTATACATCTCAAACACAAAACATTCAACCATTGCAAGACTTCAGCTTAATACTGTGACACGCACATGCAACATTCAAGCGCTACGTAAGATAAGTCTGCACACTCATCTGTCCCCATTGAAATTATTGTTGTTCAGTCACAAAAGTTTTAATCTGCTCAATGAGTGGATCAAGCTTGCTGGCTTTCAGAAGCAGCACACGCCTGTACGGACTCATCTCCGTATCACCCTCCATCCAACGTCCTGCTAGACCAGAGTCAGAGTCATCTTTCACACAGAACTCAAAACGGCAGTCAGCTTCCTGCAACCACAAAAACATGCTTAATTGTGTATCCTGATAGAAGCCATCAGCAGCTTATAGCAAGCGACCGACTTCAGATATACAAGGATGATAAGTCTGGTCTCACATTCCACCCTCATAAGAGCAGATGAGCTAAGAGGAAATGTTTTCAGGGATACGCCACACATCAAATACAAGTGTGGGTGTCCTGAAGTAGACAAATAACAGAGAGTAGCATACTGTATTCTCATGTTCCACTGGCTGATATAATTTCTAACGGAAGAGGTACTGTGTAATGCCCTGTTAACATGACATTCCTTTGGCACTTAAAAATATGAAAAAAGAAGACACTTTTCTTCAGTGAAAACTCCTTATAACTTTCACAAACCTGGTCTATAAGTTCTTCCTCAGGATTTGACCACAATATTTCTGGCTCGTCACTTCTGCCAGACAACTGTTGCTGCTTCTTTTTCTTCTTCTTCTTTGTCTGCATATTTTCTGATTTGTACAACTTACATATTAATATGAAATACGTAAAGTCATACGGCATCTTCTTCTCACAAGATCTTTTGATTTCTTTGCTGGAAATCAGGCACAATACCCAGATGTTAATATTGGCAAAGTGTTAGTCTCATTCTTAATAAAACTGTGAAACAGCGCATTCAGGACATAGATAATTATGAATGGTGAACTGGAAACGGGCACAATCCTGTAACAGTAGGAGTGAAAATGTCACTTAGAAGTCCAATCAGATGTTTCCTTCAAACAAGTTAAATTCAATACTACGGAGAATAATTAATGTAACTTCTCAGTCACACACAAGCATCTCTCTGCTTTTGTGCATCATTTCCATTAAAATAATATGAACTGTCAGAAGATCTATCATCATACTTTCTTTCATGAAATATTTGCAAACCCACATTTGGGATATTAATTGGGGTGTATGAGGGCTGTAAGGAAATCAGACTATGGTAGAATATACCTGAGACTTTCCAGAAGAGGAACTGATATCTGTGCGGGGATGTTTACGATGCGCTCATTGATAAGGAGGCCAATGGACTGAGTGTCGTCAGACAGCAGAGAGCAGATCATCGTGTTGGCCTGGTCTGTGGCATGCTCACTACACAGTTCCAGCAACAGAGTGCGCAACTGCTGCACACATTCAAGGTTCTGCTTCTCTGTGATATTCAAAACGGATGTCACTCCAAACACATCATTGACATCGCTTTCATCATCATCAACATCACTGCCATCTGCATCCATCTCACTTTGCTGAATATAAATGAAAACAAGAACATGAAAAGGTTCAGGCAATTTCCTTTGACCAAGCAACAACATAACTTACTAATTTATTTATTAGTCTACAGTGAATATCTTATATGGCTGCTGCTATGTTTAAGCTACTGTTTCTTTTGTTTAATTTAACAACACACTGCCAGTGCAGAAGTTATGGAATGATGAATTGAAAAGGATGTTCAAGAAAACAATTCTGGTGTATTTGTGTGGAAGGAACAGAATATAGCATCAATCTGATTTGTGTTGTAATAAACACAAGCTTTCTACAAAATTTGACGGTAGCGAATATACTAGCTTGTCATATGAAGGCTCAAAAAATTCCCTTACAAATTACTCAAAACAAACTGTTCCTACTTTTGAAGTAAAACAACATAAATGACACAGATGAACATTTTAAGCAGAGTAATATGCAAGTTGAGATTTCAGGTTCTCATGGCAGTATGAAGGTAACGACTGTCTTTTGGGATGCTGCATGATGCAGTCTAGTAGAAACTGATGTTTTCGAAGGTGTTCAACATATGAAATTCCCTGAAACCTAAACTGTAGCATACGCATGTGCTCGGTAGATTTGCAAAAGGAAACATGCAACAAGAACTAATTTTGTGGTCACTGATCTCTTCTCAGATTATTCACATACCTTAACCACACTTCCAACATAGTTTTGACCTATTATGACATCAGCAAGTTCAGACAGGTTTACATGAGCTTTCAGAAACAACTGCTGTAAGAGCTGCTTGATACCATGGAAGTCAGCATCAGTAGGATTTCTTCCTTCAAAGTCTACCTGAATTTTCTGGAACAGTAAGACAAATCATTGGATTGTCACATGCTCTTGTATTACAAGATGTATCATCCATCTGACCTTTAGATGCAGCACGTTCAATGTTATACCCTGCATAACAAGGTCTTGTTTGTGGCTATTACTGCCTGATCTGGGGTAACGTGATCAAATAGGGCATGGCAACAGGATCGAAACACGAGCCGCAACATGGCAAGGAAGGTGATGTTAACAGCAGTAATACCCCGCAGTTTCACCACCAAATTCAATTGACACTGTAACTGCTCTACATTCTACCTCTACGTTAATATCGATCAAATTGGAATGTTGCACCAGTCCACAGATGTCACATGGCTAACCCAGAAGTCCGAACACAAAACAAACAAATTGTTGTTAAACCTCTTGAGTAATGTGTTCCTCCGTGCCACCGCTTTCTGAACTTTCGTCGCTGTTTTCAGATTTGTCGTTGTTTCCGTTGAAATTACTGTCTTCATTGACAACACGTTTCTTTGCTGGCGCTGCCATTTTCTGCTCCTCCTCTCCCAGCCTTCGTATAATGTGCAATAATTTACAATTTGTGGCACACACCAGGAGAAACGCAAAGGCCGAAGCGAACTATTCGGCAACCTTCGACTTGTGACGTAATGTGTTGGAGGAGACCGCAGATTGTACACACTTGGTCAATGTTATTTACTCCCACCAGCACGTTATGCTTTCAAACACATACACACAGGCTGATACCTGCATACGCACATTCAATTTTGATTTTAGTGATTGAGTAAAATACGAGCTATTAATGGCGTGATTAAAGATAAAAATATTACTTCTACGCACGTGAAGTTAAAACATCATGAATGAAGGTTCGTTGTATGTGACTTATATAAGTTGAGTGTTATTTCGGTTCTCATTGCCAGTTAGTAAGATAACCTAACATGTTCATATGTAAGCCAATTCAAGGAGTATATACAACTGTGTTAAAGTGCTGTCACGGGGAATTCTGGGGTATTGGAAGTCGTTTATCATAATTCTAGGAAGCTGTGGGCTAATCTGTGTATTAATAATAGAAAATACAAAATCTTGCAAGAAAGTTGAATTCGGCAAGAGAATGTCAGTACCTTCCAGTTGTTCTTTATTCACAGTTTTGATTATGTAAAACACTTGAATTCCAAATTGTGTATTAGTTATCGAAACAGCCAAGCCTAAATGAAGATTACACAGCCCAGAATTAATGATACACTCTGTCATGTGTAACACACTGTAAAGGCAGTGTGTATAGGATATTCAGATTCGTGCTGAATGTAGTGGTTGAGTGAGGCACTCCTGCTTCATTTTTGGGGAGTCCTTGATTAAAATATTGGCAGAAGATTTTTGTCCCTCGAGGCAAACATCCAACTAGTACCATCAGTTAGGTAGGCCATGACTGATTTCTTCTGTATTCTTTCAAGTTCAGTGTACAGCAATTATTCTGTCATTCAAAGCTAGGTAATCTGAGCAGTTATCAGCAGTGTCAAATAATCCACAAATATATAAAGTAAAATCTTCCATGTTTGCTCCTTATTCCTTCAACTCATTATCATTATTATCAGTGTTAAATTACTGTAGTTACAGGCACTCAAATTTAATGCCACTAATGGAATCTGTGTTTTGTATTTTAGAAGTGGAAGCAAGCCTGCTCGTTATTGTCCTTGACACCAATCCAGGACAGAGACTGGTACGAGAACGCACACACATCTTGACACAGTGTCTTGAGTCAGTGATAGCATTTGCGAATTCTCATTTAATGCTCAAGTCAACAAACAAACTGGCTGTTTTGGCATGCCACACCAGATCCACGTGAGTTGTCAATATGCATCCTGTGTCTAATAGACATATATTTTGAATGCAGAATAAGTGTTAATGCAGGAAATGTGTACTGTGTTAAGTGAAGTAGTAAATTGTCCATCAGTTAAGATAGAAATATTTAATGTAGTAAACTCACAGTCAAGAATGAATATTTTCCCATAAGACCCAAACCAACTGAGGAACGAACACACGTTTATTATATAAATAGGTATGTCTACTGAAATAATAACAGGCTGTGATAATATTCACTAGATTAGTTTGCATGTTTCATAAGAACAGCACAGCGTACTTGAGACACTTTTCTTTCTCTGTTCATTACAAATGAATTATATTTGACTTTCAGTGAATTTCTGTTCCCACCTCCTTCTGCATGTGGCACACAAGTGGCAATGCTTCGACAGCAGGATGGGCAGTACGAATTGTTTACCCACGTTGAGAAAACTATTCGCCAGAACTTGCAACAGCTGGTGATAAGAGATGCAAGAAGTGGACCGATAGGATCAGTTTGTGAATCCTTATTGGCTGGAGCCCTTGCCATGGCTCTGTGCTACATTCACAGGTAAGCAACTGAGTTGTAGTACATAAGTTTAAGAAATAGGTCCAAAGCACAAAACAGTCTTAATTTTGTGTGTGTTAACAAAATCGACCAAACAATTATAAGTCAGTCAGCCATCATACTGTACTGACTTGTAGGGCTTTATTGTTCAAGGGTGTGGGTGTGGTTATTGAAGTAATGGAGGATTCTCAGGAACACAGTGAAAAATCAAAATTATATTTTGGATGAAATTAAGGCAGTATTAAATATTGGAAATACTTGCTACCGTGATTGTTGTTAAACCTTATGGAAATATGTGATTTGGGACGTAGTGCAGGCGCGGGAGAATATTCTGCTTGTGGCAGCTGTAGCCTGAAGTGCTAATGTAATCTCTGTGTTTCATGTGTTTCAGGTTGGAACAGGAGCTATCTGCAGGAAGAAAAATGAACTCTCGCATCCTTGTTGTTACAGGAAGTGCAGACAGTGCGTCCCAGTACATGAGTTATATGAATGTGTTCTTCACTGCTCAGAAACAGGTACAGGGGCCAGCCAAGATGCACATTTCTTAAAATTATTTATATGAAATTATGTTGTTTGATGTTTGTCTCACTGTTTCTGGTTTGAACTTGAAATTTTTTGTGGTGATAGATACACAACTTTTATTTAATGTTCGTTTTGTGAATATTGGATGGAATAACATGGTGATATTTTACTCTTTTCACTGTCGCCGGACACATCTGGTAACAGTACTAGTGGCTTTGATGCTATGAATATCTGTCCCTTCAAACCCTAAAATATCCCACACAAATTGTGAGTGTATTTGTTCCACAGAATGTGACTCTTGATGTATGCAGCTTGGACCGAGACATGGGTCTTTTGCAACAAGGCTGCGATATCACTGGTGGCCTCTATCTTCGGATTCCTCAACTGCAGGGACTGCTGCAGTACTTGCTGGTAATGTTGCAAACATCTTGTGATTTACTGTCCCTGTGTGTCCTCTAGGTTATAACATTGTTCTGTATATTCTTTTCCCAAAGATCTCAAGATAAACACACAGCGAGGTAATCATGTGTGTCACAAGCTTTTATCTTTGAAACCATGTGATGTTCAGGTTTTATATATATATTTTGTTTGTTTGTTTGTTTGTTGGAGAACCCAGACAAAGAACGAGGCATTAGGACAAGAACCAAGTTAGCATCAAATAATTTAGTAAGCGTTAAGTAGCATGTGGTGGTTACCAGTGAATTTCTTGAGAATGGATTTTAGTACCACGAGAGACTCTGTAGGGTTGCAGAACAAGGAGTATGCCTTTCTAATCTTGTTTTCTTTCCTTCTGATATCAGGAACAGTTTTTTATAGTTCTTAGTGTTTAAGCCTATCTGCCAAAATGTTGAGTTATCAATTTTGTGTTGAAATTATGTTGCATGTCATCCAGTGGGTGTTCCTTCCTGAGCCTACAATCAGAAAGCAGCTGGTGCTGCCACCACCAGTTAAAGTTGACTACAGAGCTGCGTGCTTCTGTCATCGAGAGCTCATTGACATCGGATATGTCTGTTCAGTCTGCTTGTCCAGTGAGTCTTTTCTTATGTGTGATCTCTTCTGTTCAGGCTTTCCATCAAAACTTTTTGTGTGCTCTCTCATTTTTCCTGTCCCCCACTGATCTCATCCTCTTTGATTTTGGAAATTTAGTGAGGAGTGCAAATTATGACTCTTGTCGTCATGCGGTTTTGTCTGTCCTCCCCTCCTCAGCACCCTGTTCTTAAACACCGTGAATTTGTGTTCTTCCCTTAATATGAGAGACCAAGTTTCTTACCCATGCAAAATGACATTAAATTATAGTTTTCTAAATTTCAATCCTTGCGTTTTAGATAGGAGACTGGAAGACGTAAGTTTCTGATCTGCATGGTAACAAGCATTCCCTGAAATTAATCTGATCTTAATTTGTGAATGCAGTTTTAATTTATTGCTGGCGTTCCCAAGTAATTGAACTTTGCCTCAGTTTCAAAGGATTTATTAGTCACCTATATATTGCGATTTTTCTTTGATGATGTTTTTTCTGTGCTTAGTTGAACGATCAACCTGTGTACCAGAGTCTGATAACATTTCTGTGTTGTTGTTTTTTTCTGTGTGGTACAGTATTTATGCTTCAACCCAACAAATTAACATTGTCAGCACAAACAGAAGTTATTCTTTATAGATCATGAAATGTTTCATGGAGCTAGAACAGGAGGATTATGAATCGTGTCTGTGCACGAAATGTGATGGTGAGAATCTGTGTTGCATAGAAGAAAATCATTTAATAATTTTATAATTATCGCTTGGTAGTTCTTACTGTCTTCAGCATTTCAGGGAAAGTAAGTTATATAGAGTGCCTTGTTTATGAACTCTTCTAAATTGTAGACAATAAGATGATTGGAAATGTGGTTTCATTACATCTCTGTTTGCTTCATTTGCAGTTTTTTGCAAGTTCAGCCCAATCTGTACAACATGCCAGTAAGTATCAAGTTAATGGTTATTTATAATAAGTTTCTTTTTTTGTCACATTATGTAGTGTATTCTGGAAGCGCGTGTCCCAGCATGAATAGGAAACAAAATTAAATATTTGCATATGATTTGCTGCACTTGGTACCCATAGTAAGAAAAAGAGTTAATACTTAGAAAGGCTACATAGAGTTATTGTTTCTTTTGTGGGTTATTTTATGATTATGCAGGTTAGTTGGTGTCAAGAGAGACATGTGATATTTATGAATTTAGAGTAGAAATGGGTGGAAGTGTGACGAGCTTGGTAATACTAGCAAAACCACAAAAAAAGTCTTTTTGGATGGCAAGTTGCACTCCAAGATTCAAACCAAGTAAATTGTGATTATGGTTGAGAACCAAAACAGACAGATTTTGAAGCGTTCATGGGGGGGTATGTCATGGCTAAGAGGATGTGAAACTGAGTACTTACCAAGATGAAGAATGGGCAAGTGCTATACCCCAGCTCTCTCCTCCACCTCCATGGCATATAGTGGAACAGTGAAATGGCTTTACTTTACAGTTCAAATATTAATTAAATATCTCTTGTATTTGTGAGTCATCAGCTACACAATGTACCAGTGCTTTGAACAGTTTATGCTTCTCTTTCAGCACAGTGTTCAAAACTCCTGGGCCTTTGCCCACCAAGTCAAAGAAAAAGAAGATAAAACTAAGTTGAATGTAACTTTTTATGTTTGTTTGCATTAAAATGAAATTTTTGTTATCAATAAATAAATTGACCTCACTGGTTCTCCCTTCCTGCTACTCTAAATGTGTAGGTACCTTGAAATCCTTGCATCAGTTTTCCTACGTGATAGTGGATTTTAACACGCATTTCTTCCTTTATCTGTCATTGTGATGGTAGAGGCAATGCAAGTATTCTGATGCCTAAGCCACAGTGACCACAGTGTGAAAGAAGTTAATATTTGGGTGTAAGAGAGAAGTGACATGAAGGTGGAGAAAGTAATGAGGAGCTTTACACTCCTTTACCCTTGACCTAACATTGCAGTTGTAGAGCAGCTTAGATGGCAGGGTAATGTTAAAGTGGATTGTGAAGGAGTGCATTGAATGGGGTTATGTTCCTCATTGTTTCACAAACTCTGTAATTTATTGACAGGCTCAGCTTTTGAAGGACTCTGCCTTGTGAATTTAGTTTTAGTATAAATGCCGTGCCTTAAAACAGGCTTTGGGACCAAAGATAAAGTTATGAACTAAGGGGGTATTTAATCACTACGAATGTTTATGTTGGCAGCGTTACAACGTTGTGAGAAAACGTGGTCGGCTGGAGAGGTGAGCCAAATGTTATGGGATATAAAAATATATATATTTAAATCATTAAAGCCTTTGTATTACAGTTTTGAATCCTATATTAATTACTAGTGATCGTAGTGTATAATATGTTGAGTAATTCAGTTATAATGTGTTGTATAACGTATGTCCTGTATAGATCCTGTCAGTATCAGTAACACGGAATTTCAATTTCAAAAATACGAATGTGCAGTTGGTTGACACCGATATTCTGTTACTAAACTTCACAAAAAAAGAATGTAATTAACAGAAAGTGATCTGCAACAGAAGACAGTATTTCCGAGATGAACTTAAAAAGAACAATGTAATGACAACCCTAACCTAACATAAATATTCCAGTGTCACCACGTTTGAAATAATAATACCCATTGCTCAAGATGAAGGGAGGAGACCTAGACGGAAACCGGAAGATAGAATCAAGCGGGAGCTATGGGAGGTAGAAGTTGAAAGCGATTTGATTTTGCTGGTCCAGGGCAGGGTTAATTCAGTGATGAAACTTTGGGTTCTGTAAGCTATCTGATTGGTTAGTTAGTTATTGGTTGATTAGCTAAATATTTGGATCTAGGTGAAAGTATGTGGATGATGGTCATATCACCCTCAAAATGTCAAGATCTTTCTCTCTGTTACAGATAGAAATGATGGAAGTGTGTGTTGATAGTGTGGAGTCTGCTGTTAATGCTTATAATGGAGGAGCATCTCGTTTGGAGTTGTGTGCAGCTTTGAGTGAAGGTGGGCTTACCCCCACGCCAGGAATGCTTAGGATTATTAAATCTGTTGTGAAGATACCAGTATTTGTTATGTTGCGGCCTTGTGGCGGTGATGATTTTGTGTATTCATGTCATGAAGTTGAGGTTATGAAAAATGATGCAAGTGTATTAAAAGAGTGGGGTGCAGATGGATTTGTTTTTGGAGCTTTGACTCCATCTGGAGATGTAGATAAGAATGTATGTAAGGAAATCATGGGCGTTGTGTCGCCTCTACCGGCCACATTCCATCGAGCTTTTGATGTGTGTCAAGATATTGATGCAGCTTTACTTACTATAATAGAGCTTGGATTTACACGTATTTTGACCAGTGGACAGGAGTTTACAGCCCATAAAGGAATACCTGTTATAAAGAAACTAGTTTTGAATGCAAATGGACGAATCACTATAATGCCTGGAGCAGGAATCACAAGAGCCAATGTTGGAGAAATTCTTCGACATACGAGGGCACAAGAATTTCACGCATCAGCTAAGGTTTTGAAGAAATGTGGTGGCCCTCCAAATAAATGCACCATGGGATTCAACAGCGGGGAAACGGTGTTTGTTACTTCAGAAGAGATTGTTAGGGAAATGCTGGCAGTTGCTGGTGAAGCAGTAAGAAACAGCAAGTGGGAAATCAACGTCTGAGTGTGTTTTGTTTCTGAGAGGGCAGCAGCCTGCGTCTTGAACAATATAGTAAAATCAAAATATGAAGGACGGCGAGTGGCGCTCTAATATGACTTGGTTCATGCAATTGTCACAATACTCCTAAGCTCTGTTGTAAGTATATAAATAGAATTGTTGTACGTTAGATAAATTTAAAGTACTTTCCGCATAAAAAGACCTACTTATCATTGTCATGTGGCGTAAATTGTGTATCTCCAACAGTCGGAGGGTTATTTGGTGGTGTTTAAAAACACAGTGTATATTATTAACACCTAGATAACTGAAGATAAATTTAAGCTTGATGAACTATGAAATGTTGTTGACTGACAGTTTTATTGTTCAGAGCTGCAAAACTATGAGTTTCTCAGTGATTTTACCACATCAGGGCTGATGTCTTTCCAGTTTGGGTGGACTTAACCATACGGTCTCAGTCTGGCCGTGCCTCTATCAGGGTAGATGTTAAGATGGTTGTGAGCCCGTGGCTCATCATTACCTACGCTGTGGTAATTGTGGCGAGTGTCCTGGCACCCTCCATGCAGTGACATCATAGGGATGCTGTGCTGTTCTGATGAGGGATTATTGCCGCTTCTAAAACAGAAATTATTTGTGTGTTTAAACTGGTATGAATTGGTCCTCCTGGGCTCGATTGTTAACAGATCTTCCATGAAAATTAATATTCTGCTGTAAAATCTGATAGTTGTACTTCTGCAGAAAGAAGTGTATTAAATTACAAAATATTTTAAACAGAACGTAATTGATTTTGTCTTGTCGGTTAGCTTTCCTCCTATGAGTTACATACTTCTTGTATATAAGCGGTATGTAACTGTGATGTAAGATGAGCGGCTTGTAATGAGAAGCGAGGTGCATAGTTGCCTGTGAAGAATTCCGTGTCCACAGCAAGTCCTTGCAAGACACCTGGAAGCAGAATGCCTTTAGAAAGCTTTTGTTGCGTTCCTTTGTTTGTCGATAGTTGTTATATTTGCTGAGCCTAGTACGGTACGGGGGTTGAATTCACTGCTGACATATTGCATAAATTTTGAATATGGGATAATTTAAAAATCCAAGATTATGTGAATTTTTTTTATGTGTGGCCATGTCGAGAAATGTTTCGAGTGAAAGACTCAAACATCTTATAATATATCCTTGGTTGTTTGCAGAAATTGTTCAGATCTGAAGACTGTGCTGTTTTTCAGAGTTTTACAAAATTACATAATGATGGAATTTTTGCATTTCAGTGTTACTTTGAGGCATTGTGGATATTTGGAGGAAGGGAAGGGGATTTGTGACCGTCGCACGAGAACCGCTGACGTAGACTGATGACGGCCCAGTCGTGACCAAGAATCCCCATCCGCGTCATCTCCCATCCGTCCATCCACTTGCCACAGTCTGTGAACAAGTCCTCGCGCCATCCAGGATCCTGAGCCCACAACGCACTCCAAATGTTTCCATGGTTGCGTTTTGTTTTCAGGTAACATTGTGGCTGCTACCACTCACTGCTCAGTCTCTGAATATGCGAAACTGTAATTTTATTTGTTGTTTTGTGTGGGTGCGAAACTTGGTGTCTCACCATAAGGCAATACATATGCGTTCAGGGTGTTTGAGAACAATGAGCCAAAGAAAATATTTTGACCTAAGGGCGAGGAAGTTGCAGGCGGATGAAATGGTGTGACTTGTAATTTGTATTCTGCGCAATATATTATTACGGTGGTCAGAGGAAGAAAATTGATTTGAGTTACCTCTGTCTCATCTTAATTTCATTTTTTTTCCTCATCGCAGGAACAGCGCACTCGTACAGTCGAGCATGACTGACATTGGCTGTTACATTATGACTAGATCATTACTGATTTTTTTTAAGATTACTAGTTCGCTAATATAGAAGCAGAGATGACGTTACAAGCTGTTCCTTCTGGTTTGTAACCGTCTCCAGTCGGGTTGTACCACGTAAAGAAGAGACCCAGTTGTTTGAAGCGAGTTGAAACGTCCTTGCTTGGAAGACTCGATGTTTTTGACACATAATATTTCACAGGTGCGCTAACCTAATTCTTTACTTTTCTTTAAGTACAAGGGCCGATGAATTCCAGCTTCGAAATTTGTGTCATTGCGTTGATCGTCTTCTGATAGTTGTCATCGTTGCAAAAGAATCAGTCGTTTTGTAATCGAAGCGAAAACCTGGATTTCTCGAGGCCCTTTGTTTCTGCTGTCATGTTTTAAACGTGTATATATTGTTAACCTTGTTTGTTGCTGCGAAGTCGTAATTTCTTGCATCCCATTTTGATTTGAGGTCGTGCAGATAGTGTAGCGTTCTTTCAGTACACCAGATGGGGAATTCTTATTGTGTTTGCCATTGCGTGGGTTTTCGCTCGAGGATTGTGAAGGAACGTGATTCAGAATTACAGTTGCAATGTAAATTAGTAACGCCTTGAAGAACAAGACATTTTTGGACGAACTAAATACCAAATCTGCTTCTTTGTCCGACAGATTTAGACTTTGCATGTAAGTGAATTCGCCACTTTGGCAGAATGATATTTTTCCTCTATGTGGGTCGCTGTCCCTCCAGTCAAATTTTGTATGTCTGTCTTCTCTTTTTCCCCTCCTCCTGTCTGACATTTCCTAACATCATTTTCCGCCCTCATCTTGGTCTCCTGGTTGGGTGTTTTATTTTGCTCGTTCTTAGGGATTTCCCCCGCTCTGCATAAAATGGCCCTGAACGACATTTGCTACCTCGTTTTCCGAGGCGTTTAACTATAGATTCTCTCTATGCTATGTCTTCTGTTGTTTCCTTGTGTGCTTTTGAAGAATCTCGTCTTCGCTGTTCAAACAGTGTCTCGTGCGTCTGGGCTTTACCTAAGTCGAGCTGACGAAACTCAGCATGAATAAATATCACGCGATTTAAAACGTCTTTGTTGATTTTGACTCAGCTTCCTTGTCAGCACCAACGCGAAAAATACCATCGCCATTTAATGTGAGATCATGGCGTTCTATGTGATTGTAGATTTCTCAGAATTGTTAAACTTACACCAATTCTTTTGAAATGAAAATCATCCCGCTCTTACTTGCTCTCTACTCACGCGTCGACGAACAAGTCGTTAAACGAAACAACTGGCGGTTGGGACAAGACGCACGTCTACGTCACGTGACATCACAAATTATGCAACGGTGTTATTGATTCGATACTTCAGAGGGGGTGATCGGGACCTAAGTATAGATGGAAGGATGATATTTATAAATATTGTGTGCAGTGGATTAATCTGGTCCAGGTAGGATTTCGTGGCTGGCGTTTGTTAACACGGTGATAAACTTAAGGTACCGTAAAAGGAGCTGAGTTTTTCTCGGCTGTGCAGACGCGAGGCTCGTGATGAATTGAAACGGGCAATAATGGCTTCCTTCTACGTTTGTAACAATGGAAACTACGCTGTTCTTACAACAATCAGTTTTGTATTAACACGCAACTTTGTTTACGTTTGCCTTCGCATTTTGAAGATAAATTTATCACGTACGTACACACTCTGGTAGCTGTTGTACAGTTGGGGTGAAAGTTGTTAATTACAACACGACTTTTAGGGCTTATATTGGGAATTCGGAAGAAAACGAGCGCTAAGTTTTCGCGCATTCAGAAGGTCAAAGGGTGGCACGTTCAGGAGGTGGGGGGGGGGCAGAAACCGAATGAATTTAGAAGGAAATATAGTAAAATAGAATACAAGTGTCCGAAGAAACACCCAGTATTTTTAGAACTGATTTCAGACTTTAGAGTTTGATTCTGTTAGCGAGTTTGTGTCTTCGCTTATTTAACGACACTGTGTCAACTAGTACGCCTGCTGTGATAATGTAAGTTACACGTCGCGTCACGTGATCATGGCGAGTGTTGCATATTTTAGTTTATCCGGGACTTCGTATTCGGTAGGCCCCCGGATTCATACCTCGTCCCGGAGACCGGCTAACCTGACTGGGTTTTTCTCAGTCTCTCTATGTAAATGGCGGGGAAGTTCCTTAAATTAGGCCACACCCGTTCCAGTTCACTGTTTTCTCATTCAACGCTGTGTAGTCTGAGCGTAGTTAAACAAACGAAGTACGTAAATGAGAGTCTCTGAACGTGTCGCAATCCAGCAGAGTTCTGCCGTCCCACGGTGGATTTTTTCGAACGCACGTGGAGAAGGAAGACGGAACTCCTCGTTTGGACAAGGCCAAATATTTTATTTCTGGCTGTGTATTTACTTATTGGCCTTGGAACGTGACCTGAAAGTGTATTCGTCTGACTTGGCACTGAACGTATGGCGATTAAAATTCTTGAGAACTGAAACTGTTCAGAGCATGCAGAAAATTACGTGGCGCGGCTCAAATAGGTCGTACGATTAAATCAAGCGAGGTTCAGTTTCTGGTAATAAATTCGGGCAACACAAGTAAAGATGGTCGCTGTCGCGGAAGCGGGAAACAGCAGAATTGGTTTTATGGTTCGTGCCGTTATATTTCGCCGAACAAAGAATCTGACTTCGTCAGTTAAAAATTGACACTGGAACCACGGTTCCGGAGAATCTGACGTAAATACGTCTCTGTATTTAAATTATATTTACGTCTCTGTAATATAATGTAATGTTATCTTCAATGTCATCCATCTTGTTACGAAAGCGGATTGTTGACGGCATTAATGTAACACAACAATGCCGAGTAAACAGATGACGTTTCCTAGGTAACATAACAATGCACGAAAGCTGACCATTGTTGTCGATTTGTTGATACGGATCTTACACATTTTCCTGTAACTTTTTTGCGGAATGACCCTTCCGTATAGACGAATTTACGTCACAAAAGCGCGAAACAGATTGGCCATGTACCAATTATTGCGGTGTGTAAGTCAGCTCAACTGATGAGTCTTCAGTGCTTGACTTAAAGGTCACCCTTTCTTCATTGTCGTCAAACTTAACCGGTTCTTAATACGGAATCGTTTTTCTACATCTCATTCACGTTAAAACAGCCTCGCCAGTTGGTGCATTGCGGTATAATTACCGAACAGCCAAAACCTAACCTAACCTAACAATCTGTTACATTACGGACTGATTCTGTTGTTAGTCCCACTGCCTTAACAACTCATTAAACCCTTTCGTGCTACAAATGTTTCGTGGTCTCTGGTAAAACCACGAATTGTCAGCTTCCATTGTTAACAGACGGCGTAGAAGGAAATATAGTAAAATAGAATACAAGTGTCCGAAGAAACACCCAGTATTTTTAGAACTGATTTCAGACTTTAGAGTTTGATTCTGTTAGCGAGTTTGTGTCTTCGCTTATTTAACGACACTGTGTCAACTAGTACGCCTGCTGTGATAATGTAAGTTACACGTCGCGTCACGTGATCATGGCGAGTGTTGCATATTTTAGTTTATCCGGGACTTCGTATTCGGTAGGCCCCCGGATTCATACCTCGTCCCGGAGACCGGCTAACCTGACTGGGTTTTTCTCAGTCTCTCTATGTAAATGGCGGGGAAGTTCCTTAAATTAGGCCACACCCGTTCCAGTTCACTGTTTTCTCATTCAACGCTGTGTAGTCTGAGCGTAGTTAAACAAACGAAGTACGTAAATGAGAGTCTCTGAACGTGTCGCAATCCAGCAGAGTTCTGCCGTCCCACGGTGGATTTTTTCGAACGCACGTGGAGAAGGAAGACGGAACTCCTCGTTTGGACAAGGCCAAATATTTTATTTCTGGCTGTGTATTTACTTATTGGCCTTGGAACGTGACCTGAAAGTGTATTCGTCTGACTTGGCACTGAACGTATGGCGATTAAAATTCTTGAGAACTGAAACTGTTCAGAGCATGCAGAAAATTACGTGGCGCGGCTCAAATAGGTCGTACGATTAAATCAAGCGAGGTTCAGTTTCTGGTAATAAATTCGGGCAACACAAGTAAAGATGGTCGCTGTCGCGGAAGCGGGAAACAGCAGAATTGGTTTTATGGTTCGTGCCGTTATATTTCGCCGAACAAAGAATCTGACTTCGTCAGTTAAAAATTGACACTGGAACCACGGTTCCGGAGAATCTGACGTAAATACGTCTCTGTATTTAAATTATATTTACGTCTCTGTAATATAATGTAATGTTATCTTCAATGTCATCCATCTTGTTACGAAAGCGGATTGTTGACGGCATTAATGTAACACAACAATGCCGAGTAAACAGATGACGTTTCCTAGGTAACATAACAATGCACGAAAGCTGACCATTGTTGTCGATTTGTTGATACGGATCTTACACATTTTCCTGTAACTTTTTTGCGGAATGACCCTTCCGTATAGACGAATTTACGTCACAAAAGCGCGAAACAGATTGGCCATGTACCAATTATTGCGGTGTGTAAGTCAGCTCAACTGATGAGTCTTCAGTGCTTGACTTAAAGGTCACCCTTTCTTCATTGTCGTCAAACTTAACCGGTTCTTAATACGGAATCGTTTTTCTACATCTCATTCACGTTAAAACAGCCTCGCCAGTTGGTGCATTGCGGTATAATTACCGAACAGCCAAAACCTAACCTAACCTAACAATCTGTTACATTACGGACTGATTCTGTTGTTAGTCCCACTGCCTTAACAACTCATT